CAGTTGAGTGACACGTCTGAAAGGAGGGCGCTTATCTTACCGTTAATGTTATCCCTCTATTTCTGGATGTCACATGTTTAATTCGTGTTCCTTTATTTTCAGCTCCCGAAAATCGTTCGGAAGAGACAATTGGTTCTCATGTTTTGATGGGCTTAATGCAACATTTGGCGGAACATCTGGAAAAGAAGGTTTCTCCTTTTCATATTTCTAAGTCTTGTCTAGTATCGTTGTTCTAGAGCCGGTTCCGTTATCTCAATAAACAACCCGGGACTCCCCACACCCTCAGGTTGGATGAAAGCACCACTAAATTTAACTGTTTTGATGCTTAGATGATCACACTACGCCAACTGGTGATTCTAGTACCCTCCTATACTCCGAGTCTAAAGACGACGATTCGACCTCAGGCAATTGTGAACCGTCGCCGAAAAGGCCAGGTTAGTTGGAGTTTTCATCATATAACTTATCTTTTGGGTAAAGTATCCCATTTGATGCTTGCATTCCCATTATTATTGAAAACCAAAACGCTCGTGTTTGCGTAGAGGGGCCATTGATCGTATAAACGAATACACGGCCACATAATTCATCCACGGTTCTTATTTATAAGCCGACCTGAGCCTTCCTCGATGTTACCAATGGCATTTGGACGTCATGCTAAAAAGGTAAAAGTTTAACGTCGGTTCATTTTCGTCGGTATTTGACCAAGAGAGATCGCAGTCCACATCATGCAACTGAGAAAGGAAAATTGCCCTCAGGCCGGCCGTCCGTTGACGACTGGAAGCGCAGATGAATACCCCTAGGACGTGGACAATAGACTTAGCATTCTTACTCCATTTTCTGACTGAAAGGAGTTGTTAAAGAAGGAGATATCCATATCTCTACACATTGAGCTCCGTTTGCATAAACGGACACAAAGCGAACATCAGATAAGGTTGTTCATTAGAAGCACGAGTGTTGCGGTCAAGGTTGAGCGATCTACTTTGATCACAAACACTAGGAATGTTCCGTCGGATGGAAGAAGGCAATTAGTTGTTTGGAAGCAATTTAGTGGGTACACATGGCAATCTGCTATGGATTGACTGTTTTCTGATGTGTGAAAAATGCGACCATACGGTAACCTGCCAGCAGTGGTGTCATGCTCGCGCGTTTGTCATTGTTCGTGTCAGCAGGCGGAAGGGGTTGTTGGGTGTGTGTGATTGGCAAGGTTAAAGGACACGCGTGACTGTGATTAAGCCGAGGTCAACTGTGGAGGACTTCTGTGCTTTTAAGGAACGTCTGTTAGTCGGCGGGATTGTCTCGCCAAAGAAAGGAAGCATTGGAGCAGCTGCTACGTGGGCATTATGTAGGAATTAAATTATCGTATGTCTTGTCCAGCGAGTACTTTACTTGCTTATCGAGGTCTGCACGAGAGGCATCTGTACATGCGGTCACAGAAACCGTGGCATCCGGCTGTTGTCCCACCGTCGAAATTTTCTCCGTAGCCCATGAAACACTGAATTATGCACGTCCTTCATGTATGATATATGATTGTTACAACACTAGCTTTTACTTTAGCACCTTCTAATTAGCCGCATAAGTTGCATCCATAAAAATTGCCAAAGTTTAAACCACTTTCCTTTAGTTTTCGATGCGTGTAAGTGCTCAGTTTCTTTACCAAAAAGGTTCGCATAAAATTAGTTTATTCTTATCTCTACAACCGAGTAATCTCTGTGATTTCTTCGTCTAGAGGAAGACATCTCGATTTCAAAGAGCTCACAATTCTTGCTCATTTAACTGAAACGACGCCTGTGTTTGGCGAGCGTAACCAGCAGTAGAACAGGTTGATCAAGCTGACGGGAGCTCTAGTAGACAGTAGGAAATAGCGTCAATGTGTCGTGGCTCCGCAGCTCCCACATCAAGCGCTTTATCTTTCCAGGCCCACGTCGGAGTCAAAAGCGTTACAGAGATAGCCGATCTTGTGTGATCTCGTTGGTGGTTGATTGGCGTAGTGCCTATTTTGTCTTGGTTCTTGCAGTAGATTCGATGGACCCGTGCAAGCGCTTAACAAGCATTGGCTGTGGGGCACACGAGAAGTAACTGAAGTCTATTTAGTTGTCACTGAGCTTTCCATAGCAGCTCATTATGCCTGCTAATTCTTTGCAGGGGTCCCCTGGAGATAATCCAAG